ATGCTGGTATGAATACGAGTAGATTCTGGTCGACCCTTCAGACTTCTACGAAGTAGTGGATTTGGCAACCATTCATCATTATCTCGATTATCCCAATAAGATTCATTTGGGATCGGTCTGAACTCATGGTTGTATATATTTAATATCCTCTGTATGTGAAAACACTCATCAACATAAGTGTATGAATTGATTCCAGTATGCATACATGAAGCGACTGCATGAGCACACAGATATCTCCACGCCTGAAAGCGACCACAATCACACCATCTTTGTCGTAAATTAACAGTAAATGATTCTCTATCTGCTACTTCGTTACGACGTATGCATGCGATGACAACAAAAGTATGTCCAATTCGATCAAAGTCATGAACATACATTGAGGTTGCCGTACGCTCATTTTCTTCCATTGCTTCTACCACCGTCGGAGCCCAGATTTTACCGCGATTTATCAGACACTCGATCTCTTTGCCTTTATCAGACCAAACTTTAGCCAACCTAAAGTATGTCTCTTTCACCACACTCGCTATTGGGAGATGGCGTGTACCTTTTAGTACTGAATTAATGGCCTCAACAAGGTTTGTAGTCATGTGTCTGTATCTCCAACCACCATCGTATGCTTGTGACCACTTCTCCCGCTAGATTTTCGATACCCAATTCCAAATGAGCTCATCAATGGCCTTCAAATCCTCTAATCTCTTGTCAAAATTTGGTTATCGTAGTTCATATCCTGTTTCAAAATAGATATTGTGTTAAAGTAAACTTATAAACAAACACATAAATTGGTACAAATGCTTAAAATAAAACTTACCCATATTGACTATCTCCCTACGAATTCGGCTGTTATGAAACTTCTCAATACAATTTTTACCAATATGACGGATACAATATGCGGGATATACGTGCGGAGGTGTCCAACGACTTCCCGATCGTTCAATTGCTGCCAAAATGCCTGATCCTCGATCGGATATCAAGGAAACTCCTTCTTCTCGGACGACATACTTACGTAGATTAGTCAGAAAAAAGTCCCAAACCTCTGTTATCTCTCCTTCAACGATGGCGAATGAAATTGGGAATATATTTCGTTGACCATCCTGCGCAACTGCTATCAATAATATATGTTTGTATTGACCGTATAACCACGTACCATCTACTTGGACCATACGTTTGCAAAATGGAAAACCTTCTATGCATAACTTGAATGCCCAAAAGAGTCTATGGAATATTTTCTTCCCTTGAACAAGTTGACCTTCTCGGTTGTATGCATGCATGGTCTGAGATTTCACGATAGTTCCAGGAATGAATTGTTTCATAGCTCGTAACAAATCAGGTAACTCATTGTATGATGTATCCCAATCACCATATATTAACCTCCTTGCATTCTCCTTCGCATGCCAAACGGGTTTGTATTTTACATTGTATCCGAACTGGTCTCGAATAGATGCATCCAACACCGAACAAGAAATCCTTGGATTTTGTTCAACCAAAACCTTTACATATTGACAAATTACATCGGAATCCAGTAGTCGGTGGTCTTGTTCGATAGAGTTTTGCAAACATGTGTGTGGACCATTGTACCTTGTGATGACCTAAGCATCTTGCCTCTGTATTTTCAACACTCTGATTAGCCACTTACACTCAGGCCCATATTTAACACACTTCGCGTACAAAGTTTTCTGGTTGGACTCTACAACCTTGAAATCTACATGGCCTCTTATGCAATACTCTTTAATCGCTATTGTAGCTTCTTTTTTTCCTCTGTATTGGTTCCCAACTGATAATTCACCAGAGTTATCGGACGATTCACTCATGTAGCCTGAAGTTAAATGTGGCATCTCCGGGAATTCAGGTGCCCTCATTGCATCATAATCAATCTCCTGCATGTGAGGGGTAGGTTGATACGACGAATATTCAGCAATATTGATATCAACTTCATCACCATCGAACATGGCGTCATCCTCAGCCAAAGGAGGTTCCTCATTTTCCTCATCTTCACTGGAATCTTCAAGTATTTCTTCCCAGCGGTTTTCAGCGTCATACTCTGCGGCTTCAGATGTTCCACCTACTTCATTTTCACTTTCCAACATCGCCACATAACTGCTGAAATGACTCTCAAAACCCATTTGAGATTAAGTTCCAACCGCATTTCTTGATGACCCAGACACATTAGATATATTACATATCTCAACAAATAACTCAATAATTGGAATATTTGTTGAGTCATGTAATTCAACCATACTTATAATATCATCATCGTTTTCAAGTGGTACTACAGCATACCTGACTGGATTGGGACATACAATAAATATGTACTTCAAACCATCAACTTTAGCACGGATTTTTCTTTCTATCCTCTCCTTCATCTTCACAAATGTGATGTCTCTTTTAAACATCATATTTATAGGTGCTTCAGACTGAAAAATAACTCCGACCTCATTTTCCATCATATGTCCATTGTAATGGACAATCGTGAAAAATTTGTTGCTCATTTTCTCTACACATAAATATTCTTTAAAATCTGTTAAATCTATTACATCATAATAACTAGTCTCATATTTTATATTACTCAATAACAAAATCTAAAATATAGTTCATTCTTTAAAATAAAAAAAATCAATCTAATTAATTTCTATTTAAAATTATAATCATGTAACAATTATAAAAATTACATAAAACTTACCAAATATTCGATTTATTTCTTCCTTTATTTGAACTTTTTTCTCCTTTTTTCCCAAAATAACTCTCGAACATGCAAGCTTCTCTTCTCTTCTTTTCTAACTTCTCCCTGAACTCAGTTATCCTCCATTTTATATATCATATTCGATGCATTGTTGCTTCACAATGTCTCCATTGATTGATAATTGCTTTTGATCCGTACTCATGCATTATTAATTTCCTTTTGTAAACGTAATTTATGCATGCAATTCAACACCCTTTATTTTACTTTTGCTTTGTTTTCAATCATATTTTTTTGCTTTTGATTTGTTTTAAATCAGATAAGTATTATTTTATGCCCTTATAATCAATTATTGATTCACTTTATTAAAGTTTGGTTTGTTTTACATCTCATTCCCGTCCCCACGTGCATTATTCTTCCCATGAATTCCTTATTTTGCTGTAAACTTCCTACTACCAAACATAACAAAGTTGGTCCCCACGTTGAAGACACAAAGACGCCGAGAGCTCCAAATGCACATCTGCTGAAGACGCCGAGATATCCAAGTTGAAGACGCCGAGCTTTGCATGTTTCCTATAGCAATCACCCTATTGTGGGAAATAATAAGCTGGTGACACTATCTTGGGAATTAAAGATTCCCAAACGCAATATTTGGGCAATTTTGCCGGTAATATTAGATCCAAATTAATAAACGAGTAAAATTAAATAATAATAATAGATTGATTCAAATTAAAATAATTTAAACACACAGGGGCCCAACTTCCAAGCCGTAGTGTCTATCACGCTGAGTTGGCCCATACTCATAATTTAAAGCAAGTAGGGTTCACTACAAAGTCCTTTAGCTCTAAATCATCACCCAAATCAGCCCTTCTCCATTAAAGCAACAACACCGACCTTCTAAGGAGTCTCCGTCACTATATTAAACATTTTCAACTATCCACAGAACTAGAACGATCAGAAACGAAGTTAGGATCAATAAAATAGTAAAAATATTTATACGAATCAAATTATCTTAGTGATTAAAGAAATTGTTGTTATTCCTTGAGGTTCAGGTTCGAGTACTAAAGACTACATGATATTTAAACGTTTATTGTTAAATGATTGAGAGTATTTAGAATAGATACTACAACTTACAAGCACCTAAATTAACAAAAAAAAAAGAATTAATAAAATATTTAAGTTATTGATCAATACCAAAGAGATGGTTCAAGTCTACTATGATTTAAATTTAAATCGATTGAAATTATTTTTTGAATAGTCTGGGGCGTAGAAATTTTTCTTAACAAACTGAAAATGTACATTTACACTGTAGATACAGATGCCCAACTTTAATATTTTAAAGAAAATAATATTCTTTCATACTATTAAAGTCACTCAATAAATTCAACTGATCGAAACGGGTCGGACGTAGGGTCATTTGACATTTAAAACATCCACATGCCATTCGCTTTCATACCCCATAATCTTTTAACTTTGGGTTTCACCCACTTTTCTCAGCATTTCTCAAAATAAATAAATAATCTACAATTAGATAACCATGCATTGAAGGCCATGCAAGTAGGTTTGAAGACACCATAGAGCGAGCAAGAAGAAATCAAATGCAGCAATAAAGAGAGAATAGCAGCGTTGCAAAGAAAGAAACCATCAAGGAAACTTTGGGGTATGGATCTTCTTTTCTACATTTTTGTTCTCTCATACCTAGTTAGTATTTAAATATGTTTATATATACATATATCGTATACGTAGAAACTGAAACATGATTTTATATTAAAAATATAATTTTTAAAAAAGTTATATTAAAATTGTAAGAGGTGAAATTGCACAATTTCAGAGGTACAAAGATTTATCATTAATCGAAAATACTTGAACTATATAAAAATCTAAAATTTTCAAGAATTACGACCGTCCTAACCGCAATTCGAGCTACTCTTGTATTTGTATCCATGATAGACGTAAGAGTCATGCTATTTTGTTCTTCTTTTTCTTCTTTAAGATATATATTGCGCCTTTTATTCTATTTTTTTATGAAGAGGAGAGAAAGAGATTATTTATAATTGAAATTTTTGATTTTGTTTGACCTCTAAAGCGTAACAGATCTATATATTTGTATTAAGAGTACATTAGCTAGGTGTTTATTAAGAAATTTGATTTTTTTTTTCTGATAATTATTTATTTAATTTTTTATTATAAACATTTGCATAACAACGCGTCATGTGACACATAATAATATATGTTAAATTCAAAAAAAACTAAATAAAGCTCATTTTCTTTATACATATCATTTAATTTTCGCACTTACTTCTATCTTTTCTCTCAGCTGCATAATATGAATCCTCGGTCAATTGTTATAATCTTTCCACTTCTCTCAACTCTCTTTGATGTTCCGATCAATGCTTCCGCCAAAATTTTGGAAGAAACGACACCGGCCGTTGTGCCCCAAGCACCGACGACTGAAATCAAGTGTGGAGCTTGTCCCTGTGTGAATCCATGCAGCCAACAATCGCTTCCGCCGCCTCCTCTACCACCGCCACCACCTCCAAGGTTCACCTACTACAGTTCACTTCCGCCACCTTCTCCTCCGATGTTCACCTACTATAACTCACTTCCGCCTCCGCCTCCGTCGCCGCCGAGATTCTTCTATGTGACCGATGTGCCTGGCCCGTTGTATACGGAGGATCCAAATGATAGGTGGTTCTTTTTCTCTGGTGCTGGGCGGAATTTTGTGGTGGTTTCCTTACTTTTAATTGGCTATGGATTGTGGGGGCTCACCATAGTTTATTGAACATCCAATTAAATTCTCAAGTATGTATGAAAAATCGAGAGTTATTGAAATCGAGGTCCCGAGCCCTTGAACATTCCAAAATAGAATCTTTCATTAAAAAATAGAGAAAAAGATAAAAAGGAGAGGATTAGACCTGCTCATCCGTTCCGCTCGACTGCTAAAACATAGTGTTCGCATGCCACTGGACCATAGCATTATCCCCATTAACGGAAGGTCGAGAATCTGTACTTGGAATCCTCAAGTTCAAACTTGTTCGGGTAAGTTCCGAGCTCATTGCAGACACCCACTCAACAAGAACAGGTTTGCTCGGCACTTTTTCATCCTTTTTCTTAGTTTTTAATCCCTTACGAGATAGCCCTTTGACTGCTTTTAAGCCTTTGTTTTGCTCCTTTTGAGTGACTCTCCGGGCAGTTCTCTGAAAGATGTCAATGTTATGATATGAAGGGGATATTCTCACTGTTTTCCTCCAATTGCACAACCACGTGCTTGTCCTTGTTCAAAGAAGAAACCACATTCAAGACCTTCTCTTTTGAAGCCACCACCTTTGAGTTGGGATTCGGCAGTGGGTCTGCTGGAGCAATTTTGATCGATCCTTGCATACTTCTATTTAATTGTTTTCCACCCCCTTACTTGCTTGTTTTAGCATAATCATTTGATTTATTTTTTTAGAGCCGTAGAAGGTTGGATCATTCTTGTAATCTTCCTAACTGCCTCACTTTGCACTTGATTCGATTCATTTCCTGGATATCCATTAGTATGGTTTCCCTGAAGAACCCCAAGGTGAGAACCAGGTTGATGATCCGTATTTTGCTTTTCTGTCACATGTGTCGTTGCACTTTTGGCTGCATTGGGTTTTCTTTTCCTATCACCACCTGCATCCAAGGGCCATATACGTCATCTGATTTCCCATCAACACTTGTTTTCTGTGCCTCAGCATTAGATGTGTGATTCTCCTTGCCACAATGATCCTTTGCATGTCTATATTTGCCACACGTATAGCAAATAATAGGTAATTCTTCATATTCAATTACCTGACGATGGTCGTCTATAATAATTCCAGAAATCAGCGGTTTATCCAAATCAATGACAACAACTAGTCTTGCGAAACGACCTCTTTTCCCCCCTCAGTGTTATAATCGATCCTGACCACATGTCCAATGGCACCTGCAATGTGTCCAAAAAGATTTAGGGTACGTTTGGTTCACGGAATGTAAGATTACCAGTGGGAATAAAATATTATCAGGGAATAGGATTACTGGGAATGTTGTATTTTGTGTTTGGTTGGTTTAGCAAGAATGTAAGATTACCGTGTTTGGTTAAATGAATAAAAGATTATTGGAATGTATATTTGACCAAATTGTCCTTATTATATATTTGTATAATATTACAAGTTGTAAAATATTTATATATTTTCTTTAAAAAATTAAATTCATAATATTTATATAATTTTTTTTACAAAATTTGTAATTTAACCTTCGTAGATTTTTTATTATTCAATGACAGAAGAATGATATTTTTGAAAAAAAAATAAAAATTTAAGGGCATTTTAGTCTAAAACGCCGATAATGTTACAATACCTAAAGGAATAAAGGTAATGACATTCCCGGTAATATACCCAAAAAATCCACTATTAGTAACGGGGGAATGTGGATTCCCCTCCCACATTCCCCAATCCAAACGCCCCCTTAGTGTATAATACCGATAGCTCCCATTTAATCGCACCCACACCATGATCTTCTTGGGATGGTCGGATGTGGTGCAGAACCGCCTGCTCCACGGCTGAACAGTCAGATAGCTCCCATGTATCATCCATGGACCACCTGACAAAACATGTGTAAAGTCCTCTTCACCAGCAAAACGAACAAGATAATAGTCATTATCTAGATCAATCAACACAATTTCTCCTGATGGGTTCCATAACAATTTGATTCTATTTAGCAAGGCTCTGTATCTAATCGCTTTCCCTAGTAATCGAATAACCATAGTTTGCAAGTTTAGTGTCAATGGCGTTGTGGTCTCTTTCAAAGAATTTAACTGTTGGTAGCGGGCCTTCATCAGTCAAGATCACATTGAAGACATTAGTTTTTTTTATTATTATTTATTATTATTATTATTAATATTATTATTATTTATTATTAATTTTATTATATTACAGGCCCAATTACAAATGGATCCCTGAGCCCAATTCTGGCCCAAGCTAAACCCTAAAACCATATTAAGGTTTCCATATCATCATCCAGCCGCCTCAACTTGCTGCCGTTGGATCTAGTTTTGATCTAACGGCCCAAATGACTCCAGCAAAGAAAACCCTAGGGTATCATAACCCTAGGGCCATGTTCAGCCGCCGCCTCTGCCATGTGCCTCATCCAGCCTCCACGTTGACGATTCAGCTTCCAGCCGCCTCGCCAGAAACCTCCACGCTGCTCCATCGTTGCCACGACACCAAACGAGAATTCCAGAACACCAGATGGCATCCCACGACCATCCCTACGGTGAGTCACCAGCCTAGCTTTGGTGACTCACCGAGGCTTACATTCTTTAACCAGTTCGAAGAGGAGCACCGAGGTGGCTATAAAAGCCACCGTTCCCTGCAAGACAAAAAAGGAACCAACAGCCACGGAGAGCAAGGAGACAGCAACAGAGAACAAAGACGAAAGAAGAAAAACGAAGGAAGATAGAAAGCTACCAACGATCCCCAATCAACAGCAAACCAAATAAAAAAAAGAGAAGAGAAAATAGAGCTTACTTTGTCATCGGAGGCATTTGAAACATCGCCGGAAACCTTCGGATTTCGAAGGTAAAATCCTAGATCTAGGAAATTCTAAGGGTTTTTAGGATAAATAGAGGTCATATTTGACCTTAGGATATAGAGATCTACGGTTTCGGATAATTTTCCAAATTTCGGCCACCTTGAACGGTGGCCGGCAGTGGCTACCGGCGCCAGAGTAAGGCGGACGGCCGGAATTCTTTTCCCTCAGATGAGGGAGTTGAAGAGAGATGACAGAGCATTTTTTTTATTCTCTCTCAGTTAGAGAGAGAATGAAAAGAGGGGAAATGAAATAAATTGCCCGAAGGGCCGGCCGTTTGGGTATTTAAAACCCTCCCCAAACGACGTCGTTTTGGGGAGGGTACATGTGTAATTTCCTAAATAGGTAAACTATACCCGCAATCCCCATATATTTGTAACATTGCAATTTAGTCACTGGAACTATTTTCTGATCTTTTTAATTTAGTCTCATAATTTTATTTGATATTATTTTAATCCTTATCTGTATATAATATATTTTGGATAAATAACATATTTAGTCCTTTAATTTTAATAATTAATATTTTAAACCCCAAACAACATATTTCAATTTATTTTAATTTGATATATGAATTTTATATAATTTTAGTTTAGTCACTAAATTAATAAATAAGAAGAATAACATGTTTAGTCACTCAAATTTTAAATAATTAATTGTGAATTAGGTATTTAATTCTATTAAGTTACAATTTAGTCACTAATTTCAATTTTTATTTATTTTACAAGTTTTATTTATTTTAAATATATAGTTTTAATTTTGTTCATTATATGTTAATTTTATATGTTTACTTTTAATTATTATTACTATTATTATTATTAATTTAGCCATAAATATATATATTTATAATATTTATTTTATTTATTAAAATCTTATTTAATTACTTTTAACTTATTTTAATCCTGTTTTAATATTTATTTATTTTTCAATATTAAGAAAGGATAGTCTTAAAACAACTGGATGTCCATTTTCTGATATTTTTAAATAAATAAATATCATATTTTATAAATTATATATTAATTGTTTTAATTAATTATTTATTTTTTAATATCGAAGAAAAGAGCTGTCTTAAGGTACTTAGAAATCATTTTCTGATATTTCTAAATAAATAAATATTTTATTTATAAATATATAAATTAATATTTTTTTATAATTATAATTTTGAAATAATAGGATTATAAATTAAATATATTTTGAATTTTTAAATTTCTAATAATATAGACAATTTATAATTAAAAAAAGTACCAATTTTGGGCGTTGTAGGGGTGCTAATCCTTCCCTAAACGTAACCGACTACGAATCCCTTTTTATTTCTAAAAATAATGAATTTTTGGTTAAAACGCAGATCAGTTTATCTTTTAATGGATGTTTTCTTAAAAACTCTTTTAAAAGATAATTTTTTAGGTATTTGATCTACTTGACCCAAAAGGCCGATGGCGATTCCCAAATTATTTTAAAAACCATTTATTCACATCACTTTTTCCGCCAAGTAAAAAATTCGTGCCCGGACGAAAACCGGTTACGACAGCTTGGCGACTCCGCTGGGGACCGTCAAACTTTAAAATTAATTATAAATTGTCTCTATTAATTAGAAATTAAAAATTCATTTATTTAATTTTTAATTCTTTTCTTTCAAAATTTTTATTACTTATTATTTTTATATTATTTTATTAATATTTTTTTCATGTATTAATTATTTTATTTATCTGTTAGAGGTTTGAACATTTCTCCTCACACACACAACACCTGCATTGAATAACGTAAGCTTTCTAATCAAGCTTGTCCCTTTTAAGTGTGAGTGAAAGCGACGTCTTCGTGAGAATTTATTATCCGTGTCAGACCTAGCAAGTAACTTTCGGGATTCATATGCTCTATGTCTTCGTGAGAATTTATTCTCCGTGTCAGGCATAGAGAAATGTGTCCCCTTGAATTGAACTCGATCCACTTTAGTCTGTAATGGACTAGGATTGAGGGTTGGTAGCCCAAGGGGGCATCAACAAGGACAATTCGAGTACCTTTACTCCTAGAACTAAAAATCTACATATAATAAACCCTAGAAATTCTCCTAATCTAAGACAGTACTGAACCTCTGTTCATAGGTGTACACAAAGGAGAAATAAGCTCTAGCTTTTAATTTATTTAATTTATTTTTCTCTCTGAATAAATGCCTGCGAACTAGAAATCATGCGGTTAGGA